TTTCTGAATTTCTGAATTTCTGAATTTCTGAATTTCTGAATTTCTGAATTTCTGAATTTCTGAATTTCTGAATTTTTGAATTTCTGAATTTCTGAATTTCTGAATTTCCGAATTTCCAAATTTTACGAGTTTCCGAATTTCTGAATTTCTGAATTTCGGAATTTCTGAATTTCTGAATTTCTGAATTTCTGAATTTCTGAATTTCTGAATTTCTGAATTTCTGAATATCTGAATTTCTGAATTTCTGAATTTCTGAATTTCTAAATTTCTGAATTTCTGAATTTCTGAATTTCTGAATTTCTGAATTTCTGAATTTCTGAATTTCTGAATATCTGAATTTCTGAATTTCTGAATATCTGAATATCTGAATTTCTGAATTTCTGAATTTCTGAATTTCTGAATTTCTGAATTTCTGAATTTCTGAATTTCTGAATTTCTGAATTTCTTAATTTCTGAATTTCTGAATATCTGAATTTCTGAATTTCTGAATTTTTGAATTTCTGAATTTCTGAATTTCTGAATTTCTGAATTTCTGAACTTCCGAATTTCCAAATTTTACGAGTTTCCGAATTTCTGAATTTCTGAATTTCGGAATTTCTGAATTTCTGAATTTCTGAATTTCTGAATTTCTGAATTTCTGAATTTCTGAATTTCTGAATTTCTGAATTTCTGAATTTCTGAATTTCTGAATTTCTGAATTTCTGAATTTCTGAATTTCTGAATTTCTGAATTTCTGAATTTCTTCTGAATTTCTGAATTTCTGAATTTCTGAATTTCTGAATTTCTGAATTTCTGAATTTCTGAATTTCTGAATTTCTGAATTTCGGAATTTCTGAATTTCTGAATTTCTGAATTTCTGAATTTCTGAATTTCTGAATTTCTGAATTTCTGAATTTCTGAATTTCTGAATTTCTGAATTTCTGAATTTCTGAATTTCTGAATTTCTGAATTTCTGAATTTCTGAATTTCTGAATTACAAAAATTTTTGAGTTTCTGAATGTTCTGTTTTTTTGGATTATTAGATTATGAATTCAATATATTTTCTGGAAAATTAATTTTTTCAATTTTCATTAGTCAAAAATATCAATCAGAAATTCCCCTGAACTTAAAAATCATGATTTATTTTTCATTCCCCCGGAAAACACAATTTTCTCCGTCATCATTTTTTTCCTCAAAAAAAATTAGCTTAAAATTTTCACAATTTTTTTCCGGTTCTCAAGTTTTATGCACTTTTCCTAACCACTTATTATTAACTTTTTCAAAAATTTCCTACTGTTTTCTTCCCTCGGCGTCTCTTATCTCTAACTTCTGAAAATAAAGAAAACAATGTATCACATGTGTGAACGGCATGTGTAGTCTGTGATAAAAAAGAGAGAGTATTGGGAGCATCTGCACAGTTTTATAAATTTTGTTTAGATCAAAGAATTTGGAAATTGGCAGTTTTGACTAGAAATTACAGATCAAATTTTGTGAAAACTTATGAAAACTCTTTTCTGAAATTCAGATTTTTTTCTAAATTTCGAAAATTTTGAAACTCGCAACGTTCTAATTTCTTGCTTTTTCTTACTCATTTTTCCAATTTTCTTAAAAGTTCTGAATTTTCAGATTTCGAAATTCTAGAATTTTGGAGAACCTGAACTTCTGAAATTCCAACTTTTTCAGACAAAAACGAAATGCAATTTCTAAATCTAACCATTGTTTTTGTCCTTGGACTCCTTATCTTCTACTACAAATCAATCTACAACTCCATCCGTGATCGTCTCCGAATCTATCATTTTCTATCAAAATTCGATGGTCCATTGGCGTTTCCATTAGTTGGAAATTTGTATTTAGTCAATATTTTTGATATTTCCAAATTGGTAGATCAAGTTTTGCATTTGGCATGGTATTACTGTAAAAAGGGATGTGGAATTGTTCGATTATGGATTGGTCCCGTTCCCATGTTGGCTGTAGTCAATCCGATTTATGCTAAGGAGATTTTGGAATCAAATGAAGTGATAACGAAGGCTGATGAGTATGAAATTCTGTTTCCTTGGCTTGGCACTGGACTTTTGACATCCACAGGTATGGTTTTGAAGATGGCCTAGAAGTTTTCTAGGCGCATTTCTCAAATTAAAAAAAAAAAGGTTTCAAAAGTTTGGGAATTTCGGAAATTTTTTTCAAAATTCGTAAAACTTTTCTCCATAATGTCTCAAGTGCCCCCACTTGATCGTGACTCAACTTTTTGAAGATCATTCTTAACAAAAACAACTTGAGAATTGGATTTTGAAATTCCCGCCAAATGTTTTTCAACCTAAAATTTTTCCAGGAGACAAATGGCGTCAACGACGAAAAATGCTGACTCCGGCGTTCCATTTTAAAGTGCTCAATGATTTTTTGAGCGTTCATGATTATCAGGCAAAGGTAATAAAAATCACTAAAAACAACCAAAAATTCGAAATCCCCGTACCTTATTGTGGGGAATTCAAATGTTGACTTTTCAAGCTTTAAAGGTGGGGGGACATGAAAAAATAATGTTCTCGAAAATCCGTTCAAAGATGCCCCTCGAGGAGTTGAACTTGTGAGGGCGATGATTGAGGGTGCGGCGCCGCTACCGACTGAGCCACGCGGGCAAAGAGAAAGCGCACGCCCGATTGCATACATAAAGGCGAGGACGACAGCTGTACGCAGAGTGACATTAAGCGTTGTACACCGTGACGGTAGAATGCATACTCTAGCTACAAAAAAAACTACGGAAAATCTCCTGTCCCCCCACCTTTAAAATTTGCCTTTCAACTGGTTTTTCTCTTTTTTCAGGTTTTCCTGGAACAAATCAAGCAGTTTGCGGATTCTGGAGACGAAGTTGACCTGTTCCCATATATCAAACGAATGGCTTTGGATATAATCTGTGAAACTTCAATGGGTGCTACGGTAGACGCTCAAAATAACCATGACCATCAATACGTGGAGTCTGTCAGACGTCTCAGTGAAATCGGTTTTCTCTGGATCATCTATCCATGGCTGAAAATCAAACCGATATGGTATCTGAGCGGTTATGGCGCCGAATATGATCGGCATTTGGAAATCGTGTTGGATTTTACGAAAAATGTCATCGAGGAAAAGTGGACCGAATATCAGCAATATCAGTTGGGAGCCGAGAAAAAGGATAAGAGAAGTATGGTATTTTTGGATTTGTTACTTCAATTGAGAAGCGAGGGATTGATGAACGAGGAGGATATTCGAGAGGAAGTGGACACTTTTATGTTTGAAGGTGGGTTAATGAGCATTTTTCAAAAGGTTAAAACCAAAATTTTGAATTCCCCATATCTTTTTCACCCCTACCCACCAGACATGAGCGGAATTCCTTATTCCTTATTCCTTCTTCCTTAACCACCAAAAAAAGGTTCTAACTCAAATTGTCGTAATGTTTGGCGTTTTGTGTGCAAGCACCAAATATCCCAAATTTTACGACACTTTGAGCTAGAAACCTAAAATTCACCGAGTTGGGCTAAAAAAGCACGGCAATTTCGAATTTGTTGTTCTCAAACCAAAATTTTGGGTTTTTAAGATCATGATATACAGCAAACAAACAGTGATTGCGCATTTTTCAAGAGATAGGAACCAGAAAATTGAATTTCTCATGTCTTTTCACCCTTACCCACTAAATTTGAGCGTTCTAGCTCAAAGTGTCGTAAGGCTTAGTGTTTTCTGTGCAAACACCAAATGCACCAGATTTTACGACACTTTGAGCTGGAAAGCTCAAATTTTGTGGGTAGTGGTAAAAAAGTACGAGAATTTCGAATTTCTAGTTGTTATCTCTTACTAGGGAACTATCTGGAGTTGTCTCCAAGTTGCACTTCATGACCTATATCATTAGAAAACCTATAAAATTCTGATTCCGAATATGTTTTCTGTTTTTGCGAAACGACGAGGAGCTTGGAG